GAGAAGAAAATTTGTTCGTTTTACTAAAGTATTTTAATTTGTCTTTCTTTCGATGAAGATGTGTATGTATTTAAGTCAAACATATTATATTTGATTTAAGTACATACATTCTCCAACGAAAGAAATAATGACTAAATTAATTTAATCAAATGAACAATATTTATTCTCAATGCAATTAAGTATGTATCATTTTTTTATGTGTAAATTCACAATCACATTCGTGTTTTTTTTTTAACTATCCCGAATGAAATCCTAGAACATATATTTCAAACACGGTCGTGATAAAAATAATCAAATCCAATTCATGGTCTTATCAAATTAGCACTCGACGTCGCTTGGTGTCACTGTTCAAAATTCCCTATATGCAGTACGGTTGTTATCAGGGAAATCCCTCCAGCGGGGCTTCAGTCGCCCACCAACCCTCAACGAGTCGATATCGGACGGCGCAGCTGGCGAGAGAGTGCCGCGTCGCGACGCCGAGTGTCGTTCCGCGATATTACCGGTATTTTGTCGATGGCTTCGTGAGTGTCGTCCAGGACTCCGTCGTGTTCCTTTACAATTCGTAGATCGTTCCTTGAGAATTCTTGCCTGAGAAAAACGAGACGACGTCGCCGTCGCCGCTTGTGCCATCCGCCCGTTTCCGTCCGCCGCGCGGTAATCGATTAGGAATCGCTTCTATAATTCATCCCCCTCGTAGGTCAAGTTCTGTATGAGAGCTTGCTATCCAATATTCATTCTTCCTGTTTCTCGTCTTATTCCTCTGCCTCGTCTTCCTCTTGTTCGAATACTTTGCATCCTTCGATTATTAAATATGGAACTCGGATGCGATAAAATATAAATGCCAGGAAGGTATTATAGATTTCGGAAATCGGATATGGAGCGATCGAAGATATTCAAATATGAATGAAATTAATAAGGGATATATTAACGGGGAATTAATAAAATATTACAATATTTTTCTTTTTTTAACTTTTTAACTTTTTTAACTTTTTACTTATAAAATATTTAATCTATTTAATAATATTATATTTGAGAAAATACATTAATCTGGATTTTAAAAAAAGATATTAATCCTTAGTATTTTTTATTAAATATGAAATTATTAAATATAACCATTAATATTATATATCTCACGTTAATAATGAGTTGAATGTCTCGTAGATAAAAAATTAAAAACACGAATGCGTATACAAATAGATATGGAAATTGAAACAGAAAAACGAAAAATATTTTTAATATTGAATGAGATTAATGTAGAAAATTAATTTCTTAAGTAATAAAAAAAGAAGAGGAAATTAAAGGTAGAAAGCATATGCAAATAAACTAGAAGTGATAAATTAGATGATGTCAAAAACGAGCGAGATAAAATTGATTTACATGCCGCGAGGAGCATATACGAGGAGCGTAAAGTCGTCCCTGGCATTTACATAGATTTACATTTAAAAGATTAGCCTCTATGAGAGCATACGAGAAGTAGATTCCGACTTTCGTTATTAATTTATTTGTCGTAGGATCGTCACGTAACATTTGGCGCTGTTCATGAGAGAGTTGGCTCGTCGTTTTTTTTCCTTTTTTTCTTTACTGATTTTTATTTATTCATATGAGAAGAGATGCTTTTCCTGATTAAAGCAGAAAAAGAGGCGTGCCATTGGCACGAGCTTGCATGCGTATTGTCGCGCGATCGCGACTTTACTTTCCTTATTGACGCAAATGCAATGAATATTTAAGCAGATACGCGCGTGCGGAAACCCCGGCATTGAGTCGTCATATCGTCGATACTTACTTCCGCGATATCGTGTTTTCTCTTTCTTCAAAATTTAACAAACGTAGGATATTGTTAAGTAAGTAAGAAGAAGCGCCAACTACAATCAAACTTAAATGTTGACATAATAATTCTGTACATTGAGAAACTAACGTACTGAATTTTAATAAATATTTATTTAAATTGTGCTAATTTTATTTACAACAAATAAATATTTGCTCAATAAAAAAAATGATTATTAAGTTAGAAAGAGAGAATTTATATATTCTTGTATCAAATAAATATATCTTTATATTTAGTAAATATTTAGTTGGTATTCAAATAAATGATTTATTAAAATTTAGAATTTTTTTTACTGTATGTAATTTATTTTAAATACATTTACTTCAGATATATGCAGATATATTACGCGTGTAGTGACGTATTGTATCAGCTTCATTTTCGTTTATCAATTCAGTAATCGATTCATATTTAATATTTACTTAAGTAAATTAGATATATTTATCAGAATGATCAATACTTTTGAATATCGAGTGTACTTTGATAAGATAGCTGATTACCTAAGTACGGAAAGAATAATTTATTAGAATTAAAATTTATTAATTTTTTAATACTCCAACAAAATTATTTTCAGATTTGTATCTAGCTAAATTTTTAAAGTATCTAAAAATTTAGCTAGATACAAATCTGAACATAATTTTGTTGGAGTATTAAAATAATTATATAGAGGATGCTCAAGCATAATGAGCAATGTTGCAATTTTGACATTCCAGCAACTAGTTTGTGCGTCCTACATAATTATTTTGATGGTCTAAAATAATAAAATTATTTTAGATCTATATATCTAATTAAATTTTTAGATATTTTAGCAAAACCGTTCATTCCGTGCAGACTTTTAAAAGTCGAGTAGTCTGCAGAGTATATGTAAGAGATACCGCTGATAAAAGGCTTGATGCTTCATGTGGTATTTCAAATGTGCTTCAAATGTTAATTAATTGACAGAATTAGTCATACAACTATTACTCACGAAAGTTCTGCGTATATCGGCGCGAGGACAGACGGCTAAGCAACATCCGCTTAATTAGCAATCTAACGTTTGTCGTTAGCGTTGTCGATATACGCAATTGCTTCTTTTCTTTCGTCCTCGTTGTACGTTATCGCAACTTCGTCGTGAAACATACAATTCAAGCGACACGCAACGTCGTGCACAAAACGAAGATTTGAAAATACATGACTCTGCAAAAAATGCGTTCATGATAACGTAATGCAATCATGCGATTTAATTAGATATCAATGAAAAGAGGATTTCAACCATGGCGATTAAGCGGAATCGATTATTACAATAATCGAGTCGTCTTACTTATCGTTAATTCAATACGCATGCAAAATTGAATTTGTGGTCGTCGACTCGCGGGATATGCATACTCGGTAGATTTTGTCTTTCCATATTTATCGTAAATTCGCCAAAATTCTGGAGGCTTGGAATTTCAGTGTATTAAAATTTTATACGTTATTCATATAACTATAAAATTCCAAGACTTTTCAATTCTGCTTTGCAAGAGGTTTCTCTCTCGACATTGCTCTTTTTTTATCTTCTTTCTTGGATGTATCCTTAATTCAATGAAGAGCTGTGATATTTTTTTAGTCTGAAAAATTTACTTTATCGATAGTCTAATAAGAGTTTATTTCATAGATAATCTAATAGTAAGTGAATAATATATATAGTTATTTTGAAACTAGCAATATTTAAATGTGAACGACAAAATGGCCTTTTTTCCTCACACATCGGTATCTTATCGAGTTCAGGGCCGCAAGCAAGTAATTGTGTCGCGACGTATTTCCATCTAGACGACCGACCCACGTTATATGGAATTAATGTTGCACTCGAAATCCTTTAAATTGGATTTTAAATCGCGTTAAAATAAGAACGAACATTCAAGAGATCCTAAATAAAAGAATTTTTGGACAAATAAATTTTCGCTGCTTCGTTTTAGCTATAATAATGGTGATTTCATCACTCAATAACTACATAATTATAGTAATATCAATTGAATTGTCAATAGGTTAAATGTCGTGATCATATTATCGTCACGCTGATTTTACGTGGTTAAATAATCAATTCAGTTACGAAACAAAAAGACAAAAAGTTCAATAAGGTTGACATTCGTACATTTTGTTCGCAAGAAGACTATCAATAGTAAGACTAGTACTTTACTTTGAAGGTTTCGACATTCGAACATCGAATTTCGAAATTTCAGCATTAAAAACGAAGAATCAAAATTATGTAATTATTAATTTAATACAACTAATAGTAACGCATATATTTTCATAAAAAATATACAAATATATTTTAATTTTTTCTCTACAAATAAATTTTTCGAAGCTTTCTTAAACTTCGGCATCTTAAACTTCGGAAATTAGAAGTTAACTTCGAAGATTTAAATTCTTTGAAGCTTCGAAAGAATTTGAATTTTTGAAGTGGTCAAAAAATAGCAACTCTAATCAATATAGTTATATATTAATCATGGATTTACCCCTCTCTCTTATCTAATCGATTTCATTATCTAAAATTAATTTTGATACTATATATTCCGTTTTCCTTCGATCCATTCTGGACGACTATGTTTAAAACAGAAAACGATATAAACGATTCCAACTCTTCGCTCGCGAAGCGAGGTTAACTTTTCTATTATCAAATTGGATCATCAAATTACCGTAACTAGGATCAACAATTAAATTTCGTTTGAAAAATACCTATATGTATCAGATTCTTACGAGCATGATGACCAAACATTTAAAGCACATCTCGCGTTCGTTATCGCGTTTATCAAATAATTCTACCACCGTATAAAGAGAGCCTTGGAAAGATTAACGTTACGACAACGATTGCTCTTATCAAAGCCAGCTCTTTGCCTTTTTCTCGCTGTTGAGCAATTTTGATGTAGTCGTTCTTTCATTTAAGATGTAATAGTCACTGTGGGTCGTTGCGTGTCACGCGTGTTCAATTCAGATCCAGCTTTTCGATCAATATATATGTCTACATACGTGTGTGAATGCAAAGGTGATCAGGTACCGGCCGACTGATAAGAGCTTCAGTGACGAACGTGTCGTTGTAACGTTCGGTACATAAAGTTCGTCCGTCCACTTAGTTTCTTGAAATCTAAAACCTAATCTTCTGATTTCCATGACGCAATCACGTGTAGGATTTTTTCTCTGCTTATAAAATTCGTCTCTCGTCGGGATTATACTTCACTTCCTACATTTTAGTTCCTCTCCTGTGTTTATGAAATTGTGATAGCGTGAAATTGTGAAAAGCGTGTCTGGATGTATAGTTGGTTTGTTTGCACTGTAATATATCGTTATTTATGTGCTACGATTATCGCTTCATTGCGATAAGAGACTGCTAATTAAACTTTAATCGAGAGTTTTAAATCTGGCAGTTGTGTATCTCTCCAGATACACAACTATCGCGAACGTGATATAATAAAATGTAATAATAGATATCTGTTGGACATTTATTTAATAAATTATTTAATAAAAATATCGACGTCTCTGAATTAAAAATGTCAGTGAGATTAAAAAATAGTGTTGTTGTTGAGAAACGTTGATTAAAATTATAATATTATTATACAATCTTTCGCCAAAAGTTTTCATTCTTACATCTTTCATTCGTATATCTTTTGCCTAATATTACATTAAAATATTACATTTAAATGTGATGATTTATAATCCTATTTTTATCTAACAATTTACTTAACAGAACGTTTAATTCAAAATTAATTTTTTTTTATCGGAAATTGCTTGAGAAATCTTAGCACTTACATCGACATGTTTGTTTGCATTAACGAGCTTTATATCAGTTGTTTTTAATTAATATTTGTGTTAATCAATTTTAAATTACTACTAGCATTGTGAAACTTTGCTTTGACGCTAATTGCAGCAATAATTTTGGTCGCGATATCATTCAATTATTACATTTTTGTAATACAGTCACTTATCCGTGAAATATAATTAATTTTAGAAGCAGTGATCAATTAACAAATATGCATAAATATACGAGATACAATTAATATTTGAACGAGAATTGCGAATTAATTAAAGTGTATCGGACGATTGCAAGCCCCGAAAGTACAGCGATAAAGCGATATTTATTAAATTAAGTATTTTTCGATATTTTCGCAGACGAAGATGTAGATTGAAGTGGTTTTTGTGCCGATTAATTCCGAGCAGTCGCACCGTTTGAGCTCATATATCGAGAAATCGTGCAAATTTTGTGTCGGCGGTCAAGCAATATTATTAACTAATAATTAAGAAATGATAACGGACCGATTCTTCAAATTCACGGCGATCGTGCAGTGTCTGTCGAAAAATATTGAAAGTGAAGTGTATTAATCGGGAATTCGCCAAGGATATCCTAAAAAATAGGCGGCGCGGTTTTGCTTGAGATGGACTCGGTGGCGGTGACGGTGCCGCTTCGTCAACCGACGAAGAAGATGAAGAAGAGAAAGGAACTTGACGCCCTGGCACCGGCGCACGCTATATCCCGCCGGAATTCCGGGAAACGCAGCTCGCAGGTGAGTAAAATAATTACAAGGGATGTTCGGAAAATAAAGATACAAAAAGCCTTAAATTTATTTAAAAATCTGTTCACAAATTTTCACGAAAAGAACGGTTTTAGTTCTTTCTGAAGTATTTAAAATTTTAGTTAGATACAAATCTGAAAATAATTTTGTTAGACCATCAAGATAATTATGTAGGACACTCAAATTGGTTGTTATATAATGTTAAAACTTTTTACAGTACTATTCATCATGCTTCAGTTTTCTACGTAATTATTTTAATGGTCCAATAAAATTATTTTCAGATTTATTCCGTTATATCTATCTAAATTTTTAGATACTTCAGCAAAATTGTTTTTTTCCATATTTCGGTGAGATTATTTATATACATATATTTTTTCTTTTTCGACATAGTTATCGCCATAGTTGTCCAAAACACTTATTGATAATAAGTGTTTTTGTAAGAAAATATCAATTTTTGTATTCCCGCGTCTCAAAGATCTACCGCCAGTCTTTTGAATCACGTTATGACCTCTTTTTTCATCTCAACGTCGTCAAACTTTTTCCCAGTCAGATAAAAATCCAAAACATGGATCACCGTGAACATCAATGAACGTCAGACCTTCCGAGAATTTACGACATCATTTCATGACATTTTGTCATAAACATATTAAGTCATAAGCATATTATCACTATAAAAATACTATGATTTATTTATGAATTTTCGTTGAATGCCCGATCTTAAGAAACATCTAATCGGAAAGAAGTTTGACAATGATATGAAGAAGTTTGATATGATAGAAGAGATTATGACGTTGATTCAAAGGGCTAGCAGAATTCTATGACATAGGATTACAAAAGCAGATTTCCAGACTTAATAAAAGTTTGAATGGCGGTAACTATATCGAAAAATAAAGATGTATGTGTGTCAATAATTCTTAGTGAAAGATTTGTAAATAGTGTATTTAGAAAATAAAGATACAAAGATTTAAAAATTTAAGGCGTGTTTAGAAAGTAAAGGTATAAATTAAAAAATTTGTATCTTTACTTTCTAAACACTTTTTCGCAAATTCGGTATCGATTTTTTTTCCGCGAAGAATAACGTCGAGGCGGTTCTCGAGGCAAACGATGAAAAATAAATGATAGATGAAGTAAGATTCTCCCCAAATATGTAATGTATAGATAATGAAAGATACATTTGGCACCAGCATAGATTTTACACCAAAGACGCGAAAATTATCTTCTCGAAATCATTTGTGTCAATATTTGCATTATTCCCCGAAAAGGAGATAAAAGTGTGAGTCAAAATATGAATACTGACAGATTCGTCGATGGAAAATATTTTGATGTGCTTAAAAAATCTAAAATAAAATTCAGTGTGAAGAAGGAAGATAAGAAATGATAGATGAGTTATAAAAAGAAATGATGACTGTAATATAAATGAAGATTATGTTATTATTTTTTCAATACTAATTAATAGAAAATACATTTGTTTATCTTACATTTTTATAGGAATTGTTAACTGATAGCAGCGACGATCGTTCGGAATATTGGAATGTTTCTACCAGAAACGGACGCAAATGCAGAGGCAGAAGGGGACGTGTTTGTCCCGGATTCCTTAAGGCTTGTAACGCTTTTTTGGCATGTGCCTCAGTATTAGCGACCGCCAGTCTGATATGGTTATTCATCGACGTTCGTCAACAGCTTACCGCTCTGCGAACCGAGTTAGACCAAGGTATTGGTCTAGCATCTGCAAAGTTCAGCATTAAGCGGTTAAATCAAGTTAATAATTAGAGAAGAAAATATCTTAACTTGAATTAATATCTGTATTTAACTCGAATTAATATGCAATATAATTGTTTTTATATCTAAATATCTAATGTACGTTTTGAGACAAAAAATTTATTAAATCTTAGGGTAGAGCTATTCCGTCAGTTTCAATCTTAAAATAATATAAAATTTACGACAGCAAATATCTTTTTACAGTAACTTGCTTAATAACTACCTTATCATGATTGCTTCTTGAAAGCACAAGTATATGATGTTTAAATGATGTTTTCAATATACGCTGTTCAGAAACATAAATACTATCGTGCGAAATGGATGAAAAAGCTTCTAATATATATATTTTTCATAAATAGTAATTAAACATTTGTATACAATAAATAAATATTTATTGAATACAAAAATAATAGTTAAAATAATAAATGTTTACATTTAGGAAATATTTAGTTATTACTTCCAATAAATATTTATTAAAATTTAGTACATTTTTTCAATGCACGAAAAACCGATTTCTGTAAATATTTTTAATTAGAACCTTTCAGAACTTAGAATCGTTTATGATATCAACACTATACTTTTTTGCACTTTTGTGTTTAATCTCTTTTACATTACAGTGATAGCGGGCAGCGAGGGTGTCCCGGACGCTTTACAGAAATGCCACTCGTTGTCGAGAGATCTCCAGAACAACCAAACAATAATTTTCTCCAGATTGTCCGATCTTAAACAGCAGATAAATAATTTTACGGTACAGGTAAAACCGCACAAATAACATCGATAATTCAGTTGCGACCGGTTACTGACCAGGATGACTCACACCCTTCCGGATCGATACTTTTACATTTGGCGCATATTCAGCAGGACTTGCATAAAGTACAAGAGTACTTTCAAGCCGCGCCCGAGATGGCCAATTTGCCGAAACGCTTGGACGAGTTGTCAACTAGCGTTGCAACATTTGGTAGTCAAATAAGAGATCTCGGGGCCACAGTGAATACCCTAAAAGAGACGAACATGAGGGTACAGGATGCACAGACTACTATGCAACAAAACATTAGCAGTATTAAGGTAAATACGATCAATATTGAAGCGGAAATGAAAATAGTAGAAATGAAATTAACTTGTTCAAAACATTCACCGCCGTGTTTTTGTAGCACACCATGTTAGAATTGTCGAACATTACTCAAAAGCCTCAAATATTGAGCACTGACGAAACGCAAATTAAGACTGACAAACTAAACCTTACGATATCTCATTTAATGAATAATTTAACGCATGTTAATGAAACCCTGTCGAGCAAATTGCAATGGGTCGCTGATGATCAAGGCAAGGATCGCGTAAGTATCATGTGATATGTAGATTTTATCATAAATACATGTTTGAAATATCAAATTGTTACATCTCATTTTTTATCGTTGCAGAAAAAATTAGTTTCACTTCAAGAAGCAACGGCGGCCATTAACACAACAATGATATCTTTGCAAGGAGAGTGCGTTAAAATGTCTGAGCAGGCTTCCGTTCTAGCATCGATTCAACAATTAACAAAAAAGGTGCATATTAATACAAGACTCTACTGATCGGCATTTTGTTAATTAATATTTCTAATTATTATAGATGAACGAGGTACGCACAACCGACGTGGAATTAATTGGCAAGTTAAAGCAATTGGAACAATCATACAACGGACTTAAGAACTTTACTAACATAATATTCACGACTGTGTCTGAGATGCAGACTCAGCAACAGATCAATAAGATCAAGTTATCGGAATCGTTAAATGGTGATGGGACAACGGAAATCAATCGCGATGCGACAGGTAAAAGTCATATGTAAGACCTCTCATGTAAATTCTACTTGTAAATTCATAACCACGCCGTCTCATTTACAGATGTAAGTAATATTGCTCAGAGAAAAAATGACAAATCTCAAATGTGGCAGAAGCGCAGTTTCAACGAGCAAACGAACCTAGAAGAAACTCGTGTTTAAAAAGAGACTTTCACATAAATGAAAATCGCAATCTAAGAAGCTGTGTATTTGTAAATATTAATAAATTAAGTACACGTTATGCATGTACATAGAAAGATATTTATGATACCGCACGGGTATCCAGTGGAACAATAATCCATCGTGATCCTCGATTGATCTGCAATTGCATCGAGAAGAGACTATCGTGAGCGTGCCGTGGCCTGAATGAAGCTACTTACGTCGAGCAATAACTCAAAGCGTATTAATATTATTATTAGCGAGACGAACGTTCTGTATTCGACCTAGATTAGATATGTCAATTCCTAATAACATTAAACGCAATGTAGTGAGAAAGATAGTTCAGAAATATTATGGAAAGTACAAAGTCGACAGCCGCCTGGAAGACGAATTCTCGGTTGTAATGTCTAGGAAAATGTTTATATTTAAGTAACGGCAGCGTATACCGAAAGTTTTCTACTCTTCTACATTTTGTAGCGTGATACGCTATTGTACATTTCTCCAAGTTTTTCAGCGTGAAATAATAGTGTTCTTTAGATCGTAGAAAAAACTATATATAAATACCGTGATACAGAATATTTATGTAAATACAATATTATTTAACGAATAACAAACAGTGTGATAAAATGATAGAGAAGTAACTACACATTCTAATTGCAAAATTAAGTTTAATTTGCACGGTTAACAAATCAATTTATTGGCGATATATGTTTTCGACTTTCAGTTTAGCGACACATGCACCGTACAGTCGAATGTACAGTTAAATGTGATGGTTGAAGATGTTAGTCTTTTTGCGACAAATAACTTTCACCGTTGCAGAGTAGTATTGTAGTAGCTTGATCAAATTTTTTTAACAAAGAACGAGCATTATTTTTATATGTATCGAGGATAACATTTGCAAAAAGGGATAAAGCGAAGTGAGCTTTTCGAAAGCATGTTGCGTTTCGGCTCTTTGGTACATGCGAATGAATTGTTTTTCAACGAATCTTTAAATAACTATAGACAGAATGTACAGAGAATTAGACAGTATTCGCATGTAATTATTTCGCTTACAGTTATATAGAAAAATCTAGACGAATGTTTCCCAATATTTCTCACAATATAGCATGCGAGAAATTACTGAAGACCAATTTTTTGAAATATAGTTTTAACTATGTGCATTTGTTTGTGAATTTAGGAAAATAATTATGTGCGAGTATGTGACATAAATCGGTTACAACAATACCGAAGTGAATTAATAAAAAAAAAAGGAAGAAAATATTTGGCGAAGTTAATATTATTTCTTGATGTGTCCTCAACATTATCAAGCATGCGAATCTGATAAGCCATCATTTATAATTTAATGAAATTCTGAAATGCTAAGTCAAGCGGAAGGAACTTTACTATAATTTTTATATAAAGGATCCCGTACTAAAGATATGTATATGTGTATAGAAAATTAATCCTGGTAAAATGAGTTAGCTTTCATATATAATACAGCTTATAATGTGATAAATAGAAAATATAAACATAATGTTCGATAATGAATAATTTTTGCTATAGTATATCAGTGGTGTAAAACTTGTGCTCGCAAAGCATTTTTAATACACTATACGCATTTTCCAGCAAGAAACACAGATAATATAGTATAATAGAGTGAATCATTACATCCTTGTTGCTTTTCAATATTAAAGCTGAAATAATCTATGTTACTAATATACTATATCTCTTGCTGGAAAGCATCATTTAGCTTAGAAACTATTCATGTTTGAGTCTTGTGTCTATATACTGGTATTCGTAAAACTGGTATCAGTTCTTATATTTGAAACTATCTTAAATACAGTCTTAAAATGTCATAAGTTAATCACAGAGCCGTATTAGTATTTTAAGATATTACTTAAGATAATCTTGAAATAAGAACCAATTATGAATATCTATGATGTTTTTTGTTAGTTATATTATACATATTATAGTTTACATTATACATGAAAACTAATTCATTTTCAAGATCCAATTTTTATATAATTAGTGCAAGTCTTTTATTTTGCGAATGTTCAATATTCATGAATACTCCTGCCCCATAAATGTTTTATTTCTTTAAATAACGCTGATTTAGGAATCAAATGCGTAATCTGAGCATTAATTTTCTTTTTGTTTGAGGACAGATGCGAATTTTCTTTCTTGATTTGCGTTTCTCCAAGGAACGCAGTCTTCTCGACGCCCTTATGGATTCCCAAGCTCACCATGCATTTCGGTATGCCCCGCTCGCATGCCGTTGAGCCTCGCGCGATTGGTCGGGCCTCGTAATTCTGTACGGTGCATCTGGTGCAGCAGATGCGGCGCGTCCCCATAGTCCAAGCTTCTCATCTCATGTGTGGACGACTGGATTCTTCTGCTCGTGTAGTCACTGATATCGTCGTTGACTGGCCGTGTAATTTGGCAAAAATTTGGCGCCTGGATACGAGAGTGCTTACAAGTAAGTACGAGATTACGTCCAGTTAACGTTGACATTCATTTTATCACATTTTATTGTGTAATTTTATCTTGAACGTGAGCCTGGTGCTTTTTTCTTGTTGATTTAATTTTACGCAAGTCACCCATGTGTTTCATAATTTTATGCACCGCCAAATTTACATATTTGTTAAACGTAACAATATTTCTGAATAGAAAATTCTTTAATGCATCTCTCTGATTTCTGCCGGCCCTTTCTAGCGGTAGATCGATACTTTTACTCGTATATCTCACGCGGGCGTCTAGCAATCGCTTTGTTCCGATCGTATACTACGCATCACTATTGTTCGGGAAGTCAAGCTTGAAGGTCATATCATTGGATAAAGGAAGATAAAATGTCTGCCATTTATCGAGAATAGAATTTTTTCAGAATCCGCAAGTGATTGTTCTTTTCATTTCGCTTGAAAATCAACGTTCTTATCCTATCTTGAATATCTTGATACTGATGACAAAAGTTGTGACTTGCTGAAATGAGTCATCAGTTAGTTGGCACGTATCATCGCGATTTGTTGTGCGAAATTAGTATTGCTTCTTCATATGGGCCGAAGTGAATCAAAACGAGACGAAATCCGGGAAGGAGATTATCGTTGCAGAAAATACCGCGCGTTTAGACGTAAACAAAGCGTTCACTCGATCACTGACCCCGTCGTGGTTCCGATACCCCCGAGTAATCGATTGGCCCGTGATTTTATTACACGATTGAAACTTCATTCGCTAATTCTAATAATAGTAATTCGATCGAATTATTCCATCTTGGTATGTATATTTTGATTTTTACATATATGTGTTTTGTTGTTATAACTCTTCTTAGTTTATCTCCGTTTCCTGTCTGGAGATCGCTTTTATTCATATGGAGAGGGGAAAGGGTTGCTGCAGCCTGTATTTTTTTCTCACCCACGTTCTTTATACTTTCAAAAATCATTCTCTTTGCTTTCTGAAGCGCGAACTAAGAATTAATTAGTAATTTATTATCAAACTAAAATTATGTTTCAATAATGTTCTTTTATTTTATGATAGTAAATAAATATATGAATATATATATACATACATATCTTTTTTTTATGTGTGTGCGGGTGTGTAAAGCGGTAATTCCGTCATATTTAAAATATATATTTTAAATAAATTTTCGGAATCTTTTATATTTTTTATTTCAAATAAGTCATATCATTTATACACAACAAACACAATATATATATTATACATTATATATTGTGTATGTGTATATATACATTTATTATTATATTACATATACACTCACACATCATATATACATATATATAAATGTTATACATATATATATATTTTATACATTTCTTCTGAACTTCGAACTTTTTTCCATTCTCGAGGTCATCCCTCCGACAACTCCGACGCAGTTTTGAATTCCGGTTGAGCCCGGTTTTAAATCCCTTGGCACGCATATACAAAGCAACGTAGCGATCACTGACCTCCGTCAACCAATATACGACGTACGCCCCGCTTCGGGCTTCTGCGGATCCGAGTTTCGCTCCATTCTCCATAATCCATCCGCCTCGTTCGCATGATCAATTCCCAGCCACGGATTCCCGTGCCGACGTTCCAACGTTCGATCGATAAGATAAGAATCGATTGTTCTCCTCGATCGACATTCGCCGAACTTCAGGTTCTTGAATCGCGGAGAATTTTTGCGCGACATAACCTCATTCTGAGGCATCTGCAAGTATCTGTCCCCAGTCCCCATGTATATACATCATGCGATCGCGTAAAACGTCCGTATGAAGGCACGACTAGAAAGTACGGAAGGGAGATCAAGGATTACGACATCTCGAAACCTGCACAATTTATTAAATTAATTTTGAATGCTCTATATATATATATATATATGTATATATAGATTTGTGTACAGTGTTTATATGTACGAGGTTATTCGCACTTACGTCAGGGTTATCCTAAAAGAAAAAAAAATTATTAGTTTCCATCGCGGTACACACACACAGTCAGCACTCAGCATCCGGCACGATAGAGTTCCGGGTTCCGGGCGCTGCTAGTGCGTCCCGAAACCCGAAATCCAAAAGGGTGAGAAAAAACGGCCAGCAGGGAAGAGAAAGAGAGACGAAAAGGGACAGTGCGCGCATTGCATTACGTCAGGTCAGGACGAGTGACAGCGAGAGAGCGAGAGAGTGTGAGAGAGAGAGAGAGAGAGAGAGAGAAGTGGTGGAGATTATTAAACGGCGTCTCTTTACATCTGCGCATTTCTCGCGTTCGCTCAGGGGAAAACTCCAAAACAAGCAACATGGCGGACCCGAGCAACGAGCCCGCATCGTCGAGCGGCGTCGTGGAACAGGTAGCTGCGACAGCGGCGGCCGCCGTCGTCGCAGCCCCGCTACGCGAGGAACACGACAAGCCCGAGGACTTCCACGAACCTGATAAGAAGCGGCGCAGGACAGTTCGCGCCGAGGACGCCGCGAAAACGGAGCAGAAGCTGGAGCACCGTCTGGGCGGCATCCTCTGCTGCGCAGTATGCCTCGATTTGCCTCGCGCGGCCGTCTATCAGGTAGGTCGGTCCTCCCTTCTCCTTTTCCACCTCCTCTGCCTGGGAGGTCTGGCATGTAACGAGCAGCTTGTGTCGTTATCGGGAAGATAAATAGAAAAAAAACCTATCCTCAAATTTATGACGTCTGAAATTCATGAGTCGAGACGCGCCGGACAATCGCAACGTGCGATACCACCTTTCCCCTCACATCCCGCGTCGTCATCCTACTCGTGTGTCACTACTACAGTCCATCGACCCGTTTAAGGTCGATTTTTAGAGCGACGTTACGTAGAGACGAGATGGTCACGCGATCTGATCCACGAGCCTCATTTCCTCTGCGGAAGATCAGTCCAGGTCGTTTGTCGTGGACACATCCTGCTAGATAGGCACAAGTGTGGCCGTCCATCTAAGAGAAGGCTCTGTCTTACATCGCCCAAGTTGCATCCTATTCGTACCGCGTCGATGATCCTTCCGAAATAAGTGCGACCGAGTCGATTAAAAGCTGCAGATACCTTGTATTGAAACGCTTTTAATTCTGAGAAAGTTTGTATATATGCCACGCAAAAGCAGAATTTTTCATCGCGTTATTATATTGCTACTTTACTATTCACAGCAGACTGCGTTTCTTCTCCTCTTCCTCCTCCTGCTCCTCCTTTTTCAATTTTTATCCTTCTACTAAACATTCTTTTTTTCTCTCTCTCCGTTTCCATCTTTTGTTTTTCCTTATTTTTTTTTTTGCTGTGACAAGTCGGAGTGGCTTGCAATCTAGGTATGGAACTAATGAATCGTCTCTGTCGAATAGTTGCACTTTTTTTTCTATTTTGTTATTGGCAGTCTAAATGTGAATCGTAACATGGATCTCGATACTGCTGATCAGTGCCAAATATGGATCACTCTCCTTATGTGCTTTTTGTTGACAATACTAAAATATACGCCGAAAATCCGAAAGTATAGCAGTAATATAATCATACAGTCCTCTGTTTTTCATAAACTGAGCTTTATACATAGGTCGAATAATGAGTTTGTCTATTGAGACAAGACAAGACATGTTAAGTTTTCCGCAGGTAGGTGACTTTATATTTTTTTCTTTATATTAAAAAAATGATTGAGTTTAGCAAACTCAACAGTTGAGTGAGCGCTCACTACTATTGATGTATTCTTCTAGATTTAAAGTCTGAGGGATGATCCAGAAGAATACATTAATAACAGCAAGCGTTTACTCAACTGCTGAGTTTGCTAAACGCAGCAAAAGACATGCTGCTGATATATTTATCAGTGAATCGCTGTATGGCAAATTTGTGTGATGTACGAAAGAAAATTCTTTTGCAATATATTCACAGATTTGAAATATTAAAGCTAAGACACGCATATCTTTGCTTTGAGAGATCAAATATTTCACTTATTTAAGAAAGAATATTTTTTCTTAATACGAATAGTTACACGTGGAATTTTCTATGTGCGCATATTTGCTATATTTTCACAATTATAATTATTATTGTTTCCCTCATTATAACTGTGCCTGCGTATAACGCGGTATTCATAATTAATTTCAACTACTGGAGAGAGAGATATAGGTAATACCTCTTGGAATCCCTAAATAGGTACCTTAAATAACCTCAGGACGCTTAATATTGTTATACAGTTATTTTGTACAATATTATTGATACTCCCTTTGAACAGGTCAAAACTGGAAGCTCAATATAGCCATCAGATAATCAATAATATTGTGCAATATCATGTTGTGTAATAATATGGGTTGTCTAGAAGCTATTTTAAAGAGAATGTAAAGCATCATTCTCGAGTTGTTGTGTGTATGCATGCAGCTACTCATACTCGTTTAGAACGTTGATCGAAGAGGGATATACGGTGAACTGTTTGTAGATATTCCCTAGAACCCGTTCCGTTAATTTTTCATCTCGATACATCTTTTTTTATAGAATACCGACGCGATATATATGGTGTAAAGGGATTTATAATAACCATTGTAACGTAATACGAGAGGTTGTATCACCTATTCTCATATTCTTAATTAATGTTAAACGGACATGTGTGTAAACTCATAGTGTAAAGTCCCTTATGCAGACGCACGTAGACATTTTCATTTATAACACTGAAGACTTATATTCATTCTTTATATGTATTCTTTCAGTTGTAAATTTCTACAAACACTCCACACACACTCTGCCCCTTTTTCTTTTTACATAGAATCTATCGCATTTATAAAAAGCGATGTTTGCTTCTGTGATTCACAGAATAGCGGGGGTTGGAAGCCCCGTGTTTCACTTATAATATCTCTATTAAAACGGTTAGATAAAATAGTGAAGTACTTAAGATTTTAGATCTTTGTAGTTCTTTAGTATATAATATATTTGATATTTGAATCTTATGAAACGTATATAATAAATGATATTTGAATCTTACGAAACGCTATGTTTAATATAAGAGACTATCGAGAGGCAGGGAACATATTCAGAGAGCACAAATGAGAATATAAAGGCTTATTGTTAAATTAATGCGAAACCGATGTCCATCAGTTATAGTCAACAGCGAGAGAGTGAGAGTGAGGGAGAGAAAGCGAATACAGAGAAACAAGACAAAGATCTGTACAAACTGTATAGTGCAAAACAAAAATAAATATTCTTAAAGGTTATTAGTTAGTTATTTCGCATAAAACACCCCTTTTCACTTGTCCCATTGTATCATCATCCTTGTTTCTTCCCTTCTGTCATTGATATATTGGTATTGTTAAAAGTAATTTCTTAGAGAGTACTCGTGATAACTTAAACAGACCATCTTGATAAATACATGTTGATAGTTGTGATTAATGAGTATCCGTACGATTTTGTGTTTCAGGTTTAAACTTCAAAGTGATGGTAATATACATAGCATTAATTTTTTGATTCTATTTGGGTTTGATTATGATTCTGGGAGTTCTGTAGTATACGCAAATAAGAATGCGAAAATGAAAATGAAAATATTGAGTAGAAAAAAAACCGGCTTATTGTTAACGTGTACATTGAATTAATAATGTTGGCTATATGTTTCTCATGAAAAGTCATTAAAGTTTGTAATTTAGAAAGTTATATATCTTAAATAATAGATTTGCTTATGAGCATATATAATGTACATATATGAGAGAATTAGGTGTTTAATCTTCTAATATATAAAAAAAGAAAGTTTAACGAAAAAAAACATTAACACAATAATAATACAGCAAGAACGTTAATAATACATGCTGCAATGATGTTCACAGTGTGCTAATGGACACTTGATGTGTGCTGGTTGCTTCACTCATGTCCTCGCAGATGCCAGGCTGCGGGACGAGATGGCAACATGTCCCAACTGCAGAATCGAAATCAGCAAAACCACCGCGTCACGAAATCTAGCAGTCGAAAAAGCTGTGTCTGAGTTACCTGCTGAATGTCAATATTGCGCGAAGGAGTTCCCACGAAATTCCTTAGAACACCATGAAGAGGCTATGTGTGAGGAAAGGTAAATTCGTAAGGCAAAATTTACAATTTTACGAGGATTTTTCATGCAACTGATCTCTTTATAATATAATTACAGGTGAACTGCGCAAATACATAGGCAATTTATATTTATGTGTACATAACTTCCCTAAGTTTCCTAAAATTTAATATGCCTTGCATTAGAAATGCATGTCCCAAAATCCTACATAAAAGTTTTCTTTCAACCTCCTATGCTCTTCTTGTACAACGTATTTATGTACGTGTATGCTCATATCCAATGTCTAATTACTTGTACAGGATATCTAGTTGCAAATATAGTAGAATCGGTTGTCCGTGGCGAGGCCCGAATCACGAGATTCCGGAACATGAAAGTCACTGCGTTCATCCTCATCGTACGGGTGCGGACGTGATGGAGGCTTTACGTGAGATCGATGCCCGTACCTTGGAAGAACGTAGGCTCTATGACAATGTCTTTGATCTTTTGTCCTACGAGAAAATCACGTTCAACGGTCTGTATCAATTTTTGAGCATTATTATATAACATTAAGCAAAATATATTAAAATAATCTATAGATTACTAGATAGAAAATGTATTTTTTTTCAGCAACGGAAACTACAATTGCATAAATAACTTTTTTGTATCACGATATTAATTTTACTCTCTTGATTTACCTTTTTCTCGTATCTTCTCTTTCTTTTTTAGCTACAGATGCTCGAAGATTTATCAATTATCTGTAAAATTTTATCATTTGTAGATTTACAGATGAAGCCATATCGCACTGATGAATTTATTCATAAACTATTTTATGAAACCTCTCGATTTGGCGCTTTCAACAACCAGTGGGTAGTAAAGGCCAGAATCAACAGTAATCAACGCGATCCTACTCAAAGTTCAGAGCGAGACATAACTTACCAAGTATGAAAAACCGCATGTCTTTATAATTTCATAGAAAACTTTAAGTATCGTTATTCATATACGTGCGCGTGTGTACATGAGTTAAGAATAAAAGAGATTATTAAAATATAAATCTGATAATGATATAGATATTGCGATCTAAGTACGAAAATATGTTTCATAGCTGATACTAAAGACAAAAACTACTTATCCGCTACCAGTTTATTACTTGATCTTGAAAGGCCCGTTTGGCGATATGAAGGTCCATCCGAGAATTCACAGATTCGAATTCACCGAGCAAGAAAACGAGAGTCCATATTTTACGTTACCACTACCGGACACGGCGGAGTGCAATAGACTTCTTGCAGCTAAAGCCATCAGTTTTAGGTAAAAGATTGATCCTAGAGAAGAGCTATTGTAGAGTTACTTTATTACAATATAATACACAATAGAATGTAACTCATATGTACAGCATGTAATTTTTTGTTTGCAGATTAATAATGTTCCTGGCGTCTAAGTAGCTTACAACGATGTATCTATTGTCAAGATTTTGTCACAAATGGAATCGATCTTCGAGATCTTCTAGACGTAATAACAAATAATAATTATAGAGATCACAGAGGTTTATAATCGTTTACAGTAGCGAGAGAGAAATATTGATCATGGCAATGATAATGATGATAAAAAGAGAAAATGCTAATATCACTGTAACGTTTAAAAATACATGTTGAGTATGTTGATGAAGATAAATATGTATAAAATTAATACAATGTGACATATATAAAAAGCACGGTAATATACATATAAGTATTTGAGAAATTAGGTTGAATTGCTTTATATTTCCCTTTTACATCAAACTTTTACATTAAAAAGAAAAAGAACAAACTAAAGATTAGAGAGTAGTTTATGTAGATTATTCTTACATGATAAATTATTGTATTATTGTACGTACCAATTGTGTAATGTGCTATACCCCAAGGTTAAAAGCTAAATGATCAGTATCTTAGATAATTAATTTACATATCCCTATCCATGAAGAGCCTATCGTGTTTCTTTTATTTAAATAAAATCTATCGATGTAAAATTCCGAATAAAAGTTATAATTGTAATAAGACTAAAACTACTTTTATTACATCCAATTCACATTAATGTAGCGTTATGTCGTTTTTATACATCAAAGAATGGTATCGAACAAAAAGTAGTGTCTCTATGATAATTCTTACGGATTCCTAATTGTGACACGTGTGGCACATTAGACATTTTTTTTCTATAATTCTCAATTGCAATCTTTTTATCTTTTTATCCTAAAAAAAAAAGCTAAATATTAATTATGATAATTCCACCAAGTTGATAAAGGTGTTGTTGCTTGTTTTTGAGCCATTTATATTATTCGGTGGAAAGATTAATGGATTGAGATTGTTCTCGGGTTGGCTGCTACTAAGTCTGCGATATTTCGGCACGACCAATCTGGAATCGGGTTCCGAACAACCGATCAACCAGTAAGATGTCACCCTACCCTTTCCCTTCAACTCCACTTCTCCTCTGAGCTCAAGATCGAATGTCCCGAACTTATCCAAGATATTCTTCGTCGCTTTGGAGACGTGTATTCTCAAAGCTATGAAACAAATTATATTAAGCTTATATTTAATTTTTATATTTAATTCTCTACATAGGATTAAAAACTTTAACGAAAAATCTTTCAATTTTTAAAACATTTGTGTTTTTTTTTTATTATTATCTAATATACAGAATTTATCTTACGAAGACCGGAGGATTCCATTCGAGACGCCGTGTTCACGGTGTCGCCGAAGAGGCAATAATGCGGCATCTTCTGACCTACCACTCCAGCGCAAACTGGACCACTATGCACACCGATCCGTACGCTCAATTGAGTATTCTGCTTGTGCATTATGGTGAACGATCTGACGGCGTCTAATATCGCCAGAGCCATCAGTCCAATTTCTCTCGCATGTTCGTCGCCATTTCTCTCTGGAAGACCAGACGCCACCATATACGCGTCTCCTATTGTTTCCACCTGTGAATCAATCTCAAAATCAATTTCAAAATCACTTCTTTTCTCAAAGTCATTTCAGAATTTGTTATTAGAGTTCAAGTTTGGAGATTGACTCTGGCACAAATGTGTTTCTTTCTTCTAAAATGAATCATTTATGTGTTTTTATTTATAATTTATTTTGTTATATGTCTACCTTATAAACATCGTAGAATCCAATAATACTGTCGAAGGTACTGTACAAATCATTCAGGAAATCCACGACCTCCATAGGTGTACTCTGCGCGCATAGTGCCGTGAAACCAACGATATCGCTGAAATAGATGGTGACACATTCGAACTGCTCCGGTTGCACCATTTCCCCAGCCATTAACTGACCGGCGACTTGTCTTTAAAAAAAAAATCACTATTAAAAAGAGCAAAATGCCGAAAAACTAGACAAAGCAACGATGAACGATTTCGATACCTTGGAAGCACCTGGTACAGCAATTCCTCGCTGCGACGCTTCTCCAAGCTCAATTGCTCGGTCTTCTCCTCGACGAGCGCCTCCAAGTTGTTAGCGTATTGCTCCATTCGCCGTAACAGATCATCCATTAAATTCTCGCAATATCCTCTGAAATTTGAATGCAATTTTTTGTAATAGGTATATTTGTTTATATATTTTTACATTTATATTTTCTATAATTTAAGCATGGTATACGAGCAACTCAATCGTGGAGAGAGGATAACAAGATATATAATAATATAAATATATTTAAAAGATCGAAGCACGATGTAACGTGAATGAGTCGTCCGTGTCCCATTGCGGTTAATTGAAACTACACTGTCGTTCTCCTGATTTGAAATAAAAGTACTTCATGATTCCTCGTATTATGCCGCGAATAGTGTGGAAGCTGGGTCGTTCGTCAGGAACTTCGTGCCAACACTTCTCCATCAATGAGAGTATATCCGGCGGACAGTCCTTCGGCGTGACTTCCGGCCTTAAAGGAGGATTCTCTGACGCTGATACTCTGTTCACGATCTTCGTAGAAAAGGCATCAAAATGATAAAGAAATTATGCTAAAATTAGAGTAAAAAAAAAGAATGAAATGGATCACACCTCTTGCGCCGTCATAAAAGTCCTGGTTATCTCGTACGGACCACCGCGGACCACTATCTCCTCCAAGATAATTGCGAAACTGTAAACATCGCCCTTCTGCGTCGCAGCGCTTCCGGGTGTTATCGTTAATGGCAGGAGCTCCGGAGCGATCCAAAGTAATTCTGCAAATAAAGATTCTATTGGTCAACTTTTAATATAGTATATCACTCATATATTCTTTCTAAATTCTTTAGAGTGGAATCTCACTTTAAAGAATAAAGATTGAGCCAGTCTTGAAAAAGAGTGGCACGATTTTTAATCTTTAAGAGATTTTATTCTTTAAAATGACAATTTACTCTAAAAATTTTAGAGAGTTTAAATCGTTTATATTTTTTTTATGCAACTTACTGATGTAATAACTCTCATCCATAATCAATTCGGAAGGTGTGGTGAGAGTTTTGAGACCGAAATCCGAAATTTTTAATACGAAACGACCGTCGATTAGGCAATTACACGATCGTAATTTTCCATGGGCGGAAACCTCGCTGGCATGAAGATAAGACATTCCCTGCGAGGAAGCAATCTCTTTATCGTTTTCGCTTCATCATGCTTATTCATGATGTACTATTTAATTACAACGCTCTATTATAAATCAATGTAATATTAATTAAGATGCAATTAAATAATATAAAAATAGTTAAATATGTTAAGATACATTCAATAATTTAACGAAAAACACAACTTCTGCACCTGCATCTACCTTGACGATATCGTGGATGAGGGACATTCGAAAATTCCAATCCAACTTAATTGCCTCATTTTCCAGAACATCCTTCAACGATCCACGAGGACAATATTCGGTAAGAATTAAAACAGTCGGTGATGGCGAACAGAGGCAAGCCCCAATAAATCTAGCGAGCAATTAAATTTATTAATAAATAGCAAGAAATTGAGTTAAAGCAGCGATGTTACATTGTTGAATATTTATACTATTGAAGAAATCTTGTGAATGGTCATCCTTTTATTATCTACGAGAAAGAAAAACACGAGAAAAAATTGTTTCTACTAATTGTTAAAAGACAAAATACCTCACGGTGTTTTCCGACGTGACGTCCCTGACCTGTTTGATTTCCCAAAGTAATTTCTTTGTCACGTCGACTACTTTCTTCTTTGTGACCTTCTTGATAGCTACTCTCTCGCCCTTGTATATCCCAATAGTGGTAAAAACTATCGTTGGCGGCAATGATTCGCAACTAATCTGCGAACCGCGACGTATCCTCTGTTCCAATCCGTAATTCTATGATTAAGTAAAAGAATCAGTTAAGTTTTACAATTTATATAAATCATATATAATTTTATTTTTACTTTATAAAATAAATAAAATTAAATAATCTCTTATTGTTCTGCGCACGTTATACTCATAATTTATCGCTCACGTTTACATCGGATATCGCTTGGTGTAGATTTATCTTCGACGAGAACTGCTTCCCAACTTCAAGAAGCAATTCCTCAGGTCTTACACGCCAGGACATATTATTGAGATCGGCAGATAACCGCAAATGTCTATGCAAAGAAATTTTTTCACGTCGATTAATTTTATATTCTATTATAATTTTATATTCTTCACAAATATTTAACATTAAAAATTTTACGTTCTATTGTTATATTAGGGCTTTTTAGTATCTTTTTTTAGTATTAGATGTTAAACATCTTTTTTTAAATATTACTTCTTTACATATTATTATTCATACCCCTGGATCGCACAAATATCATAAAATTTAATGAAATCGCATTAAGTATACCTGTATAATAGACACGCGGCTGTAATTGCAGCGAGTAGAAACACAGCGAGCGCTATGCCTGTGTAAGCTACAAACGTATAAGCTTCTCTTCTTGACGTACAGTCCGGATCGTTTCCTAAAAAACCACACTCCGGAATATCTAGCGGGGGTCCTTCTCTTCCACCCGGCCAATGGATCTTCTTACCAGTCATAGGACTATATTCTCGATTTAACCCTAAGTAATGAGCAACCACTTCGAATCTGTAAGATGCCAACATCTTATCCTTGGCAATTTTTTTTATGTGATGTTCTTTTTATTAAAAAAATTTATCACATCAATGACAATTTTATATTGATTCGATTGATTCTCTTCTCACATCAGGTCTTTATAGAATTTTTTCCTCTAATGTTAAACAAATTTGTCTTCCTTAATAACAAGATAATCTGTGACATTTAATTTAGAAAAAAAATTCTAGTTCCTAAACCTTCTAATTGTGTTTGCAATTTGCGAGATGCATCTTGATAGGTATAAATGATAAAATTGCGTGGAACGAATGACATGAATTTTTAAATGACCTTCCGGTAATGGGATCTAAATCAAGAATGCTGTAATCCGCGTCACGATCCCCATTGTCATCTATCCTGACGTGACCTGTAATACCCATAAAGTTTCGATCCCACATTCTTCTCGTTATAGATATGCCGTCCCTTATATCTCCATCTTCGGCCAGGGTCTCGTTCAACGCGATCCCTAACAAGTAAACACCATCGTAAAAGGCTCCGACGAAGAAATTCACCTGTGAAAAAAGCAAGAAATCCATTTCACTCGCTTGGAT